TGGAGAAGTTCGCCCGAGTCTCCGCTGTCTTCAGGCGTGTCCCGATCTCGCTTCCAGGCCTTGCCGGGGGATTCTTGGGTGTTTCTGTGGCGGCAGGTGGCGCCGAGGTCACGTTGGGCAGATCGGGGGACTTAGGGCGTTGGGACGGAGTGCCACCCGAGCTCACCAGGTGCGCCACAGCCGAGCGCACCCGGTTTAGCATGCTGCCTCCCTGCCCCGCCCTCGGCCGCGGCCCCGCCCCTGGAGAGGCCCCGCCCCTAGGGCTCTATGTGGGCGGTGCCCTCTCTTGATCCAGGCCAAACTTCCCCAGGCTCTAGGCCTTGGGGGAACTGCCCCAACAGCTCCCCGCCTCTTATCCACATCCCGACTTCCTTCCGCCAGAGTGTCACAGGGGAAGGATCTGTTGTGGGAAGAAAGCGGGGAGAAGGAAACATTCCAGTCGTTCTGTAGATTAACATCCGCTAGATTTAATCCGTTAGAATTTAGCCATTGTGACAGGGGTGGGGGTGAGGGGCAGTCTTCCCCCGTTCGGTTCGGGTGGCCAGCCAGCATGGAGAATGATGGAGCTAATGACTTCAGAGCGAAACATCCACTTGGGTGTGAAGCGCTTGGTGTGATAACACCTTAGGCTGGAGCTGCTGAATCTGGAGCAGAGAGTGAGCTAGTGCTGGCTGCTGTGCTAATCACGCCCGGCAGTTGACCTCCCGGGATCGGGGTTCTGGAGCAAAATTCTGCGCTCCTTAAGGCAATGTTCCGTGTGAAAGTCACTTACATTCTATAGAACGACTGTCACTCCCATCCCACTTTCTCAGCACTGTTCCTCCATATTGAGACTTCTGCCGGCCAGTTAGTTAGTAAGGCTAACGGCATAATAAATAAAAACTACAGTTATTGAGGACTTGCTTCATACTAGGCCCTCTACAAAGCAACTTCTATTCATTATTCCACTACACCAACAATGCAAGGTGGGCTACAACCATTTTACAGATGAGGCAGGAGTGGACTGTGCCCTGTTATTTTACTAGACTTGCCCAACAGTCACGCAACCTCTTAGAGAGCCATACGTATGTCAGAACCGTTTTCTGACGCCGGTTTCTCTGGATGAGGAAGAAGGAAATGGGAATCCTAAACCCCCACCCTCAGAGACTCCAAGCAGAACGGGGATGCTGAGCAAGTTCTCTGGCTACCGCCAGGGGGAGGCAAAGGCCAGTCTAAAAGCTTCTCTGGGCTGCCAGAAAAGCCCACTGCTAAAGACTAGGGCTGGACCAAGAAACAGCCAAGGCGTGCTCTTTCTTTGCCTTCTGGAGAGAAGAGGATCACTGTGCTTATACTTGGGGTTACAGTTGATAACTACCCGGTCCCATGTATCCCCAGTACACAGTTCAACAGAAGTCAAGGCCCTTTGGGGAACCACAGACTCCCTGGAATTCTACCTGTAGGCACCCAGTAGGTGCTTCCTAATCATACCCTGGGATAACCTGTGCCTCCCGCAATGGGGTGGCTTTCTTGGCCACTTCTAAATAAAAATTCCACAGTGGTCACTGAAACAAAGTACACAGACTTGCTGTAAATATTCTTAAGCTTTTGGGAGGCAGATGAGTGCAAAGAGCAATGAAAGTCACTGGGACAGAGTTGGGGAGGACTGGTTAAAAATTCAGACTCAAATACAGCAGCAAAGGCATCCAGGGGCCAAGAACATTCTGCCACTATGGGTGTTTTCTTTCTGTTTGAGAAAAACTGAAACCAACTGTCTGATACACGGCATAGTGTCAGTGGGAAGCCAAAGACTAGAGAAAAAAAAGAATAACCTTTGGTTTTATTATTCAGTGTTTCTGGGACAGTTTAACTATCACTTTCCAGTGTCACCCAGCTTCTTTGCTCTTCACAGCATCCACAGTGTGGCTACAAAAGTGGGCCATAGAGCCTTTAGACCCCTGGACTCCAGTACCAGATAATGGTCAGGGGGTCATTTGCTCCCCCAGACTCTGGAACCATTCTGGCTCCCATCCATAACCAAATTCGATGGCTCTCAAATCTCTGAACGCCCCCTGCACCTATTCCTGGGCCATCATATCTCATCCATCCTGACTTCCCCACACCTGGTTAGAGGTCCTCTCAATGAGACAGTAGAGAGTGAGGGGGAAGGGGGACAGAGCAGGAAAAGTACATTTATGAGATGTGTTCTCTCCTGGGAGCAGAGAGACATTCCTCGGAGACAGAGGAGAACCAGGTCTGAGTCAGGGAGGGCAACAGGGCATCCTCCAAACAGGCCCCCTTAGTCAGGCATGGTGGCATTCATCTGTAATCCCAGGAGGCAGAGGCAGAGGCAGGAGCATCGGAAGTTAGCAGCTAGCCTGGGCTACATAGTAAGTCCAAGCCTTGACTTTGACTTAATGAGGTGGGGAGAATGGCTTAGCAGATAAAGGTGACAAGCCCGATGACTCAAGTTCAATCCCCAGCACCTACACAGTGGGAAGAGTGAAAGAGAGGGGGGCCCATCCCTTGTCCCAGGCTGTGTGCTCACGACCTAGAAGCAGGCTCATCCTTTGTTTCTCCCCCACACTTTACCACCTCCTGAGATCTACTTCACTGTAACAGGGGCATACCCCCTCCCATGAAGAGACAGATTCACGAAACACCTCTGCCCTCAGTGCTTAATGCATCTAAAATACAAACCTGTTAAAATTTTGTCATTGGGATTATTTACCATTTTTTCTGATGAAGACATTTGGCACCTCAGCTTTGGTTCCCAAGATGAGAGTTATGCTCATCATCCACAGGGCTGTTCAGCAGCCTCTTGAAGCCCTCGTCTGGTTCTCCACCCTGGAACTGGCCCTGGTCTTCCCAGGTAGGAGGGCAGCACTTCTGTGCTGAAAGTCTTTCCTAATCCCTTCTGGGTGCCAGCTGGGAAACCCTGTGGTGAAGAACTTCCTGCAACAAAGGAAGCTTCCAATTCAGTGGTCCTAACTTCCAGTGCCTGGAAAGCACCTCAGGAACACTGGCTCTCTGTCTCTGTCTCTCTAGCTCCCTGTCTGTCTCTCTCTCTCCCTTCATTTTGAGATATGGTCTGGCTAAGCAGCCCTATCTGGTCTGGAAACCTGTGTAAATCATATAGACAAGCTATCCTCAAACTTGCAGGCACCCTCCTGTCTCCCCTGTCCCCATCTCTGCATTTTCGGGGAGGGATAGGGACTCACAATACAGCTCAGGCTGTGCCAGAATTCGTGCCAATTCTCCTTCCACAGTCTCCCAAATTCTGGGATTATAGGTGTGAACCACTATGCGTGGTCTAAAGAACTGAATTTTAAGACTTAATGAGCTCAGATTTAACAGTCTACTGCTGGAGTAGGTGAAGACTACTTACTTCCAGCCCCAGTGTCCATCCCAGAACACCACCTACCTCCCTTTAACCACAGGACTAGGGGCCACATTACTGGAAGTTTTAGGGATTTGTTCTAATTGTCGCATCCTGCCCCAGAGAATTTTCTAGGAAAACAGTGCCGGTGGGCTTCTGTCCCCGGTCTCTCCCTGCGCCACCAGAGGCCGCTGCGTGCCAGCTGTGCCCATCACTCCCCGCAGAGCGCCCCATGCTGTCTCCAAAGAGGCGGCGGCGGTACCACAAGGGCTGAAAGAGCAGAGACTACTCCCAGCCAAGAGGCTGTGCTCTCCCAAGCCCGAGGGCAGCAAGCTCGGGAGGATCTGGCTGAGCTCCGCAGGGCTGGTGGGTCCAGGCCCAGAGCATCCCGTTACTCAGAGCGGGGCTCACTAGGCTAGGATGTCTGCTTAGCCATTGTCCTGCTCTCCTCGGGGCACAGAAACTTGATAACGATTGATCGATCACAGACAGAGCTGGGGACCAGACAACACCCAAGCTGATCACTCCCGGGGAGAGCCCGCCCTTGGGAGTTTAGATCCCCAGCTCAGAGGCATCAAGGACCTCAGGCCAGAAGGTTGAACCCGGGCCACTACAGGTGGGTACCAGGATAAGAATGGGCGCTGGAGGGGGACAGGAGCAAGCAAAGCAAGGTCGAAGGTTCTTGTTGACTCCTTGTTGGTATGCAGGCTACTCTCTCAGCATCACCTTAACCTGTATTGGGGATTGAGGAAAACAGCCCAAGGAAACTGAGGTAGACACTGAAGAACAAATCCCAGAAGACGCCTCCAGCGCCATCTGAGGAAAGAATAGAATGCCAGAGATCCTGAGTACACCTTTCCCCTAAGTTTTGTGGGCATTGGGGTATCTAGGAGAAATGCTCATGCTCACGGGATACTGGTAGTGTTCAGCCAGAAATAGGATGTCACCAAAACGAGAACAAATGGCATCTGCAATGCTCAAAATGAGGGTCACCGACACAGGCTGAAAGAGCAGACCCACTCAGAAAAGAGGCATATCTCGAAGGGCGGGAACATACCCATCCCCAGTGGGTGGGCACGACCCCCTCCACTACCCCCTCTAGGCCATTCCGGAGCTCAGCAGCCTGTGTGTTTTAGTTTTACTTCTCACTGGAGACTGAGTGAGGACAGGACCTTGTGCGAGAATGGAGAAACTCTTGTGGGCTATGCACTGAAGCAGAGACCTGTTGCACTGCTAGGTTAGCCCTCTGTAAGAACAGTAACAGAATTAAGCCAGCTCTAGAGGCGTCCAGAAGCGGCTCATGATGGGTTGGAGGTAGAGGCTAACCCAATTTGGAGATCTTAGGAGTCTCCCCCAGGGATCTCTTCCAGGACTAAGCTCTGCAAGCTTCTCTGACTCTAGCTGTGTCCCAAGACCAGAGAGATGACAGCACTGGTACTTAAATCCCCTCACTATTGCTTCACTTCTAGAAAAAAAGAAAATCCAGCCACTGTTCTCAGGGTCAGCCTCCTCCTCAGGTTTCCATGGTCTGGGGGAGGAAGGCAGGGGAGCAGAGACAGATTCCCAGAGCAGAAATGACTACCCTTGCATGGGAACAGCCTAAGCTGGACTTCCTTTGGTGCCCATTCCCTTATTTTTTTCCAAACTTTCCCTTAGCCCCTGTAGGGGTCTGGCCCCTCTCTATTCTGAACTACCTCTGTATTGCTCCCTACTTATCCAGGTGGAATGAGTCTGAGACCAGCAGATGAGCAGACAGAAGCCTAAAGACTCCAGGAACGGTAAGTGAGACAGCTAGAGATGGTAATGGAGGAGTGGACATCCCCTCCAAGGGAGCAGCTATATCCTTTGGTTTGGCCCCTGGTATTCCTAGTCTGAGCTGGCACTTGCTAGAGCTCTTCCTGTCCCCTCTGTGACTAGTTTCTCCCAGCTTCTTGGTGCTTCTGCGTCCCTGGTTTCTCTCTGGTTCTTGCTCAACTCCAGCATAGATGTTTGGGGCCCTGTTTGGTTCACAGGGGAAAGGAGGAATAGAGCAACGGGCCTAGGGCAGCTTCTGGCTCTTGTCACATGGTAGCCAATCTCTGGCAGGACATTTAACTTCCAGCCTAGATTTGTACCTTCCTTCCTCTGTTTGTTTTGATGTGTGTGCACCCATGCGAAGTCTGGGGAAGCCTTCTGGTAGAGGCTCCCTGCTATATCCTTCTCCATGTTACTTCCTTTAGACGGGTCTTTCCCTGAATCCAGTATTAAGCTATCCAATGTTCCAGTGATCTTTCTACATCGTCTTTGTCTTCACATCTGTATTGCCATTCTCATGCTTGCTCAGCAAGTCCTCTCACTCGCTGAGCCATCCCCCTCAGCTTGTGTTTTATTTTTGTTTGAAGTAGTATCTTCCCATGTAGCCCCTGCTAACTTGGAACCCACTATGTTAGCCAGGCTGGCCTCAAACTACCAATGATCCTTCTTGCTGCTACCTCTGATCACAAGCATATGCCACTATGACAAGCCTGTCTGTCTTTCTAAAATTTAAATTGCACTGCTGGGGCAGTTCCATGATTTGAAACTCAAACATGTAAAAGAAAGAAATTGGTGGCGGGGGGGGGGGGGATCATTCCCCCTCCTACTTCCATCTTCTCCACAAGCAACAAATTTTCCTTCTTAATGGCAAGCAATGTATACTTTTCAGACCTGGTGTGTACATATTCAGTAGCACGCATGTCCCCTGCCTTGTACACACTGTGTATACACTTCCTATTTGTTGCTTTCTCCCCTCCAGTAAGACTGGATTGTCACTAGAGTCTACCATACACACCATTACAAAGTTCCCAAGATGCTTTTGGGGTTTGGTCTGTTCTGTTGTGTGTTCCCAGTGATCTGGAGGGGACTGCGTTTTCAGACTCCCCACAGTGTACTGGGCTCCTCCACTGATGGTTGTTGAGGCTATATCCAAACTATTTGAGCTTTATTTGTAAAATGGGCAATAGCAGGCCTTTGTGCAAGAGCACACAAGTGAAGTGTCTAGGTCAAGAGCTCAAAACGTGGGAGTCAGCGTCATTGTTGTCTAACCCATGGCACAGCCCTTTAATTCACTCTGCAAAGTCTCTTCAATGTTTCCTCCACAGGCTCTACCTTCCTGTCCCCTGGTCCTTCTGTGTCACTCGTCCCTTCCTGCAGTGACATCGTGCCTGGCTGCAAGCTGTCTGGAGACAAGGTGTGTGCATCCTGCTTAACCTTGGGCTTCTAGAGCATGGCACAGAGAAGAGGCTGAAACTGGGTGCAGACAGGGAGCAACTGCCCTGAGTTAAGCATGCATTTCCCTCCACAGAATGAGCGAGAGGACCACGAGCAACTGGAACCCAGGCAGCTGGGTGCTAGCACTGTGCCTGGCCTGGCTGTGGACACGTCTGGCCTCTGCTTCCTTGCAGCCTCCAACAGCCACAGGTTTGGAGAAGGTGGTGAGACTAGACAAGGGTTTTCTACGACATCTGGAGAGCCAGAAGGCACCCCAACCCATCCCAAAATGCAGGCAGATCTCTGGGGCAGAGTAAAATTGGCAGAGGTGACTCCTCTGGGTATCACCCAGGAAACTATCCTCTTCTGCTGCCCAGTCCAGAGACAGCCTGGGTAAACACATTGGTCCTATCTTTTCCAGGGGGAAGGTGTTCTGCAGTGAGAGGCCCTCGGGTGGAGGCTTAGGTCTAGTCTCCTGGCCTAATTCTGGGGTTTTCCTTCTGGGATGGCTAAAGCCTCTGTAAGCGGATGATCCTCCCCCACGCATTGTAAGCTCTGGGGCCCTTGCCCTCACCCTGAGAAAGTGGAAGGTGGGGGCTGGTGTGCAACTCCAGCTTTCAAAGAGTCTGGAATGTGGTCTCACTGAGGTGGGGTGGGAAGGTAACACACAGATTGCATCTGCTCTTTTCTCCCTTACCATTAGATCATTAGATAACTCTCTCTCTCTCTCTCTCTCTGTGTGTGTGTGTGTGTGTGTGTGTGTGTGTGTGTGTGTGTGTGTGTTTGTGTGTTGAAGGTATGAACTGAGCCTTCGCCTCTATGCTAGGAAACACTACCACTGAATTACAGCCCCATACTCTTAACTGACCTTCCCATCACGAAGGAGGAGGGGCTTGAGGATCTACAGCAGGGTGGGAGGGAGGAGAGCCTTTCCGAGGCCTGGGTCTCCTGATCTTATACTACTGGCCCAATCAGTCCTAGTAAAGCAGGGCACCTGTGAAGTGATTGCTGCGCATCGCTGCTGCAACCGGAATCGCATCGAGGAGCGCTCCCAGACCGTCAAGTGCTCCTGCCTTTCCGGCCAGGTGGCTGGCACTACAAGGGCAAAGCCCTCCTGCGTGGATGGTGAGTGAATGGCCAGGTCCTGGTCAACCAGGTGGGTAAGGAGGCCCAGAGCAGAGATAAGAAAGTCTGTTTAGACCTCACCATCCATCTGCTGAGGATCTAGTTTCATAGCTATCTTGAGGCTTACAGGATCAGTCTCAAGTGATGGAGGATTGTCTTGGAGGAGAAGGCAGACACAGCCTGCCCTGTGTCATAGAGGAAGAAAGCTCTTGTTACAGGCCACACACATACCTGCCACCTGGTCCATACGCACAGGGATGCATTCCCTCACACCAACTCCAGAGCCCACATGCTCCTCCAGAGAGGTCCTGTTCTACAAGTCTCTTATTCTCAGCCTACCTTTGCCTTCTCCTTGTGGACACACATGGTCACTCACATCACATACCCACTCTCCCTCCTTTCTACCCACACTTGCGTTCTCACACTCTGGTAGCATCTGCATTACCATGCTCCCTAGCTCACATGCCAGCTTGTGCACTCCTGGATGTGGGTTGGATATCAGCCCATGTACACTAAGGAGAGCACTGAAGATGGTACCTCTGTGCTAAGGACAGCCAGCTAGCTTGCTGTCCTCCTCCCCTTTTGGTGCAGTGTAGTGATTAAGTTGATTGGGATAGTCCCCAGCCCGCAGCCTAAGCACAGTGTTGCCTCTTTGGTCAGCCCAGGGTAAGGGGAAGAGAAGGGGAAGGTAGCGATCAAAACCCCAGGTGTAAGGGAAGGTACCCCTCAATTATGGACCAGCTGTGGCCAGTGCTGTGCCTCCAGACCTTAGAGCCACACCTGCCTCCTGCCCCACAGCCTCCATCGTCCTGCAGAAGTGGTGGTGTCAGATGGAGCCCTGCCTGCGGGGGGAGGAGTGTAAGGTGCTCCCGGACCTGTCGGGGTGGAGCTGCAGCAGTGGACACAAGGTCAAAACCACCAAGGTATTGAGGGGGATACTTCATCCTCCCCTCCTGTTCCCCCTTCACCTGGGGTAGCGCATGGGCCAAGCCCTGGAGGGCTAGGGTGGTAGTGCCATAGGTGGGCATGTGAACCAGGAGAACACACTCCAGACGCTCCACCTGAGCCTGTCTCCACTCTAGGCACTGCCGCTAAGGGTGTGGTTTGCCCTTGTCAGCAAAAAACGATGTCCTGCCTGGCTTGGTTTTCTCCTCTTTGCTTAGCATGGGTTTACCACTAGAAAATATTATGCCTTTAAAAACAAAGTGGAGTAGGGCACAGTGGCACACGTCTGTAATCCTTGCACTCAGCAGGAAGATCAGGAGTTCAAGGCTAACCTGAACTACATGATATCTGTCTCAAAACAAATAAACAAACAAAAACAAAACAAACAAAAACCCAAAAAAACAAAGCAAAACAAAACAAAAAACAAAAACAAAAACTAAGGCAGGGGGAATGGGGAACTAGGAAAAATTACCTAGCTCAGAATTTCTCCTAATACCTGAATTCCAGAAACAGTAACTTCTGCCACAGACTGTCCCCTGTCACTTACACCACTCTACAGCCATTAGCTCCCTGCAGTTCCTACCTTTCCCCCTCTAGTCAGCTTGATCTGTCCTCAGTGATAGCACCCAAGAAGATTATTATCATCATGGCTCCCTGCCTGCCCCACAAAACAAGGGGTAATTAAATTTTTATCAAACTATTTAGCAGCTCCATGTGTGCCTTGGCTAATTGGTTGCATGCTGTGGCTAATTAGCTGCATGTCATTGTCATCATCATCGGTGCAAATGAGTGACAAGCCAAGGCAGTGTCTCTGCCCCCATTCACCACCATACACAGCAAGAAGGCTGATAATCAGAAGTAAAAACAGGTTCTAGGGTTCTAAAACAAGTGGGGGTTTTCATCGAATGCACAACACTGATAGCTAGCTACAGCAAGAGACAGTTTGGGGGCTGTAGGGGATAGCTCAGCAGTTAAGGACACTTCTTGTTTTTGCAGAGGACCCATGTTCAATTCCCAGAACCCACATGGGTGCTCCCAACTGTCTATTACTAAGTCCTAAAGAATTCAGTACCTTTATGTGGCCTCCTTAGACACCAGACACACATGTGGTACATAGACATTCATGCAGATACAAAACACACACACACACACACACACACACACACACACACACACACACACATATATAACTTAAAAAAAGAAAGTGGGGCTAGAGGAATGGCCCAGTGGTTAAGAGCACTTCAGAGTTCCTGAGTTCAGTTCCCAGCAACCACGTGGGAGTTCACAACCATCTGTAGTTGGATCTGATGCAGAACAAGTACTCATATACATAAAATTTAAAAATTAAATATTAAAAAAAAGAAAAGAAAGAAGGAAGGAAGAATAGAGTTTGGCTGAGTAGAAGGTTGGGCAGCCTGTCTGTAGGCAGCAAAGGGAGACAGCCAATCTAAGAATGTTATCAAGATTTGCCAAGTGTGACCCATCACAGAGCTTGGGACATTTGTCATACTGTTACAGGGTACGGTTTGTGGCCTAAACATGGCCTTTGAAATGTGTGTACTGACTCAGCAAACAGGGGTGAGGCTTGTCTGACTGATGTCAGCATGGACCACCAGGGCTCCATCCCGTGTCCAGCCTGAATGGCTTTAGGAGACTGGCAACAGTGACCTCTAAGTGCTTTTATGGCCCAGGCTCTCTGGCATGCTACAATTGTTGGCTCCCTCTTGCTTTCTCTAACCTTTTTCTTCCCGATTACTTTCTTTCTAGGTCACACGATAACTCTCAGGGGGTGTGGCTTAGGCAGGACAGCCTTGCCTGAGCTCTGAAGAATGGCTTCTGCTCACCAGCCAGCAGATATGAAGACTCACTTACCTTACATGTAGTCCCATGTGCCCCATGTCAAATGCAACATCAGACTTGCCAGGGCCCTGTTAGTCACACTGCTTAGCAGAAATGCTTAGATCTTCAGCCACATACTTAGAGACCTGTGATCTCCTACAAACAAAGGTCACACATAATCCTGTCCTTAAGGAATATCTTGTCAAGCTAGGGAGTGGATGACAGACAATTTAAGCAATTTAAAGGTCCCATGGCCCCTGAGCTACCTGCTGTGGGTGTGGTGGGGATGGGGTGGATGAGAGTCTCATAGATCTTCAGTCATCCCATGATCAGTCACATGGCTATCTTCCCATGAGTCCTGCATCTCAACAAGATGCTAAGATGTTAAAGGAGAAACTGTCCCCTGATTCCAAACCACTGTGATCTCCTTTGACAGTGCTGGAAAGTAGAGTCAACAGTTCTTCAGCAGAGTTCTGCAGAGGCAGGGCGTGTGGCTCACCTTTTGCTGTCTATGGGATGGATAGATAGGCCCTCGAGATCATCCCCACCGGAACTTCATGTGTTTTTTGTTTTTCTTTTTGTTGGTTTGTTTTGCTTGTTTTAATGGATGAGAATACTGAGTCACAGAGGGATGGGATGATTTGCCCAAGATCTCACAATTCAGGCTTCCAAACCATGGGTGCTGAGATTCCAGGCTAGGCCTTACATGGCAATTTTATTGAGAGAGCAGGACCCTACAAACACTTTTTGGGTAGCAGTGACGTGCTTCTTGGGAGATGGGACTTTGACCACTGGGGCTTTAAGGCCACTGATTCCCCCATCCAAAACAATCCGGAATCCCCACACACTGCAGAGTGGATCCACTTCTCAGTCCCCCAGATCCAAACAGTACCCATGATAGCCCAGAGGTCACTCAGCACAATTGCAGCCATCTCCCTAGATAGGTACTTGGAAGTCAGAGTCAGGCCAGAGGACAGCCCAAAGATGAAGGTCTTTGCAATCAGCCTAGCCTCCTAGATGACTTGGGAATAACACGCTGGCTTACTCTCATCGCCAAGGCCTTAGGGAGTGGTGTTTGTTAGAGACCAGGCTGGATGATGCACCAGTGATAATTTAGTTGGAGTGTCAGCTTCCCCTATTTCCCTAAGTATTTGACTGACCTCAGGGCATGTTTTTATTTTTGCTAACTTCAGAAGGCAGGCCTCTAACAATCTCTGCATACAGCAGGAATACAGCATCCCATGCAGAGGTAAAGGTTGTCACGGTCTCCTTTAACATTGAAGAGTGGAGGTTGGAGGAGAGATGCAGGGTTTGGCAAATACTTTCTGGGAAAAGTCAGAAAAGTGAATATTCTATATTCTGCAGAACACATTAAGTCTCTGTGACATATTCTTTGTTTTGTTTCATTTTGTTTTAAAATCATTTCAGAGCTGCCAATGCCACCTTAGCTCTAGGGTGAAAGAAACACATTGTGACCCATTTCAGGTGTTTGTCACCCCTCCCAGGGGACCGTTGAAGGCCTGGGGTGGCCTTCCAGCCTCCTGGCTTGCCCTCTGTGCCATGGAAACCTGAGCACAGAGCTAGGGCTGGCTTTGTTTTTCTCCTAATGCTCAGAGAGAGATGGGTGAGTGAATTATTTAGGTTACAAATGAGGCAGCTTTAGCAGAGCCAGACAATAAGAGCCTGCTTTCCTGGAGGCCAGAACGTAGGTTCTGCAGGCTGGTGCGGAGCTCAGTGGGAGAACGCTGAGGTGGGCTCCCGCTCCCCTCCTTCCCAGACACTGTCACAGTCTTGCTTCAGCTGCCACCCCTCCAGCTGTGTCACCCACTTGAGCTGGCTTTGGAGTGGAAAGTATGGAATTGATTCCTCACGAACCCTCGTGAGCTGCCAGCCTGCCTCAGTGGCCCGGTTCTGTACCTCTCCTGGCCCCCACTGAAGTCCTGCAAGCTTGTCCCTCCTGACCTGGCCATAAGTTTATTGGGTGAACTCTAAGGGATATCTGTATAAGGCCAGGAGGGCACCACATAAGACGGTCTGGCAAAGATAAGAGAATGCCCAGGCCCCCCAACTCCAGCTCCCCAAAACTGTGTATCCAACTGAGTCCAAACCTGCCCGCATCTTGTAACTATCCAAATGACAGTCTAGAAATAAATGGATTTCCTTGGAGCATGGGGCTCCTGGAGTTGTTTGTCTCCCTCCTTGGGGAGGGCATTTCAGATCCTCTGAAGTTTGCTGGAACCCCCATCTCAGCTATGCAGGCCTTAGAGAAGTTGACAACTATAAGTCATGTGACTGATTTCCACTGGCCCCCTGGCAGTTTCTTTAAAGTCTGTGAGTGACATTCTCATTAATGGCCCCAGACAGCTCCATAGCAATGAAGCTGCAGCTTCCTAAAACCACAGAATTATAGTTGCAGGGAGTTTTAGAAGCCAGCACTCATTTGCCAGCCAAGGAGAGAGTAGTTCAGAAAGGTTAAGTAATTTGCCCACAGTCACACAGCAAGCCGATGGCATGTCCTGCCCAGTGACGCAACACAGAGTTCTTCCCACTAATGTGTGTCCCATTTTGTACCCCAGAACCGACAAGAACTTGGAAGGAAGACAGGGTTTTAGCCATGATGACTGTGAAAGTCTCATTCTAGAATCACCCAGTGCTGTAAGGGCAAGTAACAGAGCGAAGAAGAATGAGAAGCATGTAGCGGAGACCTCAGAAGGAAGGGGAGTGGGTGAGCATCACCACTTCAGGACTTCAAACCACAGAACAAAATCAGACAAGACTGATGTCTCCTGAAGGGCCGGTCTTTGTCCTTTTTGGAGGAGGCATAGAGCCCTGTCAGTCCTTGGCAAATCAGGCATGGTGGTGCATACCTACAGCCCCAGCACTTAGGAAGCTGAGGCAGGAGGATGGTGAAATAGAGGCCAGTCTGAACCACACAGAATGGACCTCAGAATGGGACACTTTGCAGAACTGTGAGGCCATCTTGGCAATCCCGGGTTCTTTATGTCCTGTGCAAACGAAAGCACACAAGCTACAGTTTTTTTGTTTTGGTTTTTTTTGAGATAGGGTTTCTCTGTGTAGCTGTGGCTATCCTGGAACTTGCTCTGTAGACCAGGCTAGCCTTGAACTCAAAAAGATCTGCCTGTCTCTGCCTCCAGAGTACTAGGATTGAAGGCGTGCACCACCAACACCAGGCTCTCTCTTTTTTTCCTAATAAATTTTTATTGAAACATATACTATGTTTATTTGCTTATTATTGACTATGACTGTCTTGGTGTTATGACAGCATATCTGAGTCATTGTGAAGAAACTACATGACTCTCAAAATGAAAATAAATTCAGTGGAAACTTTTTGCCAGCCTTTGCAATATGTTTTACAAAAGCCTTCTGAATGTGTACATTCTCAATCTAGAAACCGATGGCTGCATTTGGTTCCTGAATTTGGGGAGTTGGTTTTCTTTTTTTTTCTTTTTCTTTTTTTTTTTTTTTTTTTTTTTTTTTGACTCTGTGCCTGTGTCCCCTTAAATCCCTCCTAGTGCCTCTTGTCATGTCTAACAACAACAAAAACCACAGACATAAAGTCTAAGACAGAATCTAAGAGAAAGATTCAGGGCAGGCGACACTGGTCCTATTCATCACAGCCCACATCAGATCAGTTGCTCGTTTCCAAGTTCATGCAATTACTATTTTTGAACTCCAGAAAGAAAACTGCACATGCATCCTGTGTAAGGATGGGATTGTACATGCATGAGTGTGGCTGCCATGTCTCTGTCTGTGGATTTTAGCATCTCCATGCCCTCAAGCAAGGCTAATACTTGGAATGCATAGAAGCTAGCTCAGCCTCCACACTGACTAATGAGGCGGATGGCTGAACCAGGACACACTGGCTGTTCACAGCCCAGTACACAGTGTGCATCCCCCCTCCACCCGTGTGGCTGAGATGGGGAGGGTCCTTTCTGTTTTCTCCCAGTGTGAAGCCAATCCTTGGTTGTGATTTGACACCAAGTGTGAGTGTGGAGTGTGTTTGGAGTAGATATGTGGGCTGAGTATGCAGAAGACCAGAGAACTCCCTTTGAAACCACTCTTGAGGGCATCGATGCCCTTTTCCTCTCCATACCATTGAAGCCAGTACCGTCAAAATCGCTCTTGTCTGACATGATGACACACACAATGCTCCCAGCCAAGCATGCCAGTCCCTCCCAGCACACAGTACAACTCTGATTTGTTCCTATGTTGTTTACTGATTCTGGTTTTTGTTTGTTGTTTGTTTTGTTTTGTTGTTTTAAGACAGGATTTCTGTGTGGCCTGGAACTCACTGTGTAGACCAGGCAGGGGCTTGTACTCACAGAAATCTGCCTGCCTCTGCCTCCCGAGTGCTGTTTATTTTTTAAAGACAAGATCTTACTATGTAGCTGACCTTAAACTCATGGCAATCCTCCTGCCTCAGAAACCTCAGGTCAATAATACTTAGTCATGAAACCCTAAAGATGGGCATTTCCAGCAATTTCTGCTCTTCAGATGCATGAGGTCTGTACACTGACAGCAAAAGTGAACTCTGGGAGGGAGTACTCCAGATTCCGGTGTCTCCTATGCCTGGTCAATTTCCCTATGCTTTTCCTCCCATAGCTACAGTATTATCAATATTCCACAACCGTTGACCGAGAAACAAAAGAATTCTGAGTGTGGTGCTGTACAACTGTAATCTCAACAGTGGGGGTGGGTGCAGGGAAAGGGTGGGGCAGGGTGATTTCTATGCCTTAAAGACTAGCCTGGCCTGTGTCCTGAGATTCAATCCAGCCTGCCTCAAAAAAAAAAAAAAAAAAAAAAAAAAAAAGCAAGGGGGCTGAAGAGATGGCTCAGCAGTTAAGAGTTCTAGTGGCTCTTGTAGAGGTTCAATTCTCAGCACTTACATGGAGTTCACAAACATCTATAACTCCACTTCCTGGGAATCTGGTGCCCTCTTCTGGCCTCCACAGGCACCAGGCATGCATGGGGTGCACATACATACATCGAGGGAAAACACTCACACACGAAAGAAAATAAATAAAATACAAAAGTAAACAAAACTAAACAATACAATAATAATCCCAATCTCGTTTCTGGGTGGTTCTGCATAGTTTGATATTTTTAGGTATTACCTGAAGAAATGCAGTTTCACCACGGGGATCCCTAAAGGATAACGGCAAGGAAAACCTCAGGTGTATCAAACTGTGGATAAGCCACATCATGGTT